TGGTTCTCTTCGCTGTTGAAATCGCCGGCCAAGAAAGTGCCCGAGATGAGCTTTGCGAATTTGTTCTGGCTATATTCGGAAATTTTGTCGATAATGATACGTGCAGCCTCGAATCGAGACTGAGATCCCTGATCATCAAGATGGGTGTTCATGGCAAGGACCGTGTTCCGACTAGCTCGATGAGTGAAGACACCGATGGTGACAATGCGGATGGAGGCCGCGTCCCAACTCTTGGACGGCGTTTCCGGTGTCTTGGACAGCCACACTGTCTCCCAGTGTAGTAACTCCCAGACTTCTGGTCTGTAAATGATGGGAGAGTATTCCCCAGCCTCCTGGCCATCATCTCTACCGACGCCGATATACTCCCATTCCGGTGCTTCGAGCTCTGCATCCTGATTCAATCCAGCCAGAATATCACCAAGTTGGTTGTGAAGAACTTCTTGTAGGCAGACAAATGTTTCTCCACAATGACGAGTCTCATATTCAAATTCATTCAACAGCAATTGTTTGCGTTCAGCCCAGGGCTGTTCGCCTTTGAAGGGAGATGAGGTTGCATATCGGATATTGTGTGTCAAAACCCGGATGGGAAGTTTTGTAGAACTCATAGTGTGGAATACAGAAAAATTGAGGACGAAACTACCAACGATGATATAAACACATCCATGGATAGCTCTATGTCGTGGGTTTACAACGAGTGAGGGGAATGTTGCAATGCCTCAGGTTAGCACTATGCTTGTGGCAAGCCACAGTAACAGGGTCCCACCTCCAGTCATAGCGTGGAGGTTACATATGTACCATGTACCGATATCGGTATGTTAGAGGATATTTTTATACCTATTGAAAGTCATTCTGTATGTAGGCACTGTGCTTTCATGAGTATTCTACAGTTGGCGGCCGGTGTTTCGCCTTCTGGCTAAACACTGTAAAACGAAGAAAGATATCGAAAAGCTGGGTTCGTATTCTCGAGTCTTTTAATGGTTGAAGTACATATATCTATGAGCTTGCCTTGACATATGGGGATTGAACAGTCAAATATACATACCTAGAGTATGTATACAATTACGCATGACTCCTTTGATTGAGGTCTATACGGGGCTTTGTGCCAGTTTTGTTGCTAACCATCGCATAGCAAGCATCAGGAATTTCGAAAAGCGAATATCCAGTGACAACGATGTACCTTCCGGGGATGTATAAGAGGGGAAGCACCGGTCAAGTGAGGAGAACGGGGGATTGGAGTAGACTGGAGGTCTGAGCGATTCTGGGTGGCGGAATCCGGGGTATCAGAGGAGACATTTACGGTGTATATAAGAAAAGAAGTAGTACATCTAGATATGGAAGTACATCTAGATATTTATCTAGATGTAAATTATACATGTTCTCATAACTCGAATCAACGGCGTCAGTTGCCATGACGTCTTCGGCAAAGCCCTAGGTAACAGGCCTGAAATACCAGGCGACCACCACCCAACCCCACCAACGCTAAACGTCCTCTCGAACGCTCTGCACACGACTCGATCTCGGTCCATTCCTCTCCTCTAGCTTCACACGGGTTTACAATCCGAACCCATTTTTTGAAATCTCTTGAATTTACTTGTTTATTACAGCTCCACGAGCCCAATTCACTTCACAATGGCGGAAGAGAAAGCACCCGAGGTTGGTATGTAAACTCCATGGAAAGCTCTGACGTTTGTGGGCACTGAGCCCAATATGGGTCATGAGCTCGCTGGCGCTCACCACAACAAAGAAAATATGCTCGATTCATAGACCGTGACTAATTATGCGATTCTTTCTAGATTACACCCTCAACAACCCCGATACTTTGACCAAGTACAAGACCGCTGCGCAAATTTCTCACAACGTCCTCGAGGCTGTTGCCGGTATGTTTCGCAAGACTCCCACTGTCTCAGTTTGTGATCTAACTTTAAGTAGCTCTTTGCTTGGAGGGAGAGAAGATCGTCGAGATCTGTCAGAAGGGTGACAAGCTCCTCGAGGAGGAGATTGCCAAGGTCTACAAGGGCAAGAAGATTGTCAAGGGTTGGTCCACCCCGTTCTCTATACAATTAGTGGCAGAAGAACCACATCAACTGATCGTAACATGTAAATTAAGGTATCTCTCACCCCACGACTGTCTCCCCTAGCTCCTATGTGACTCCCTACACTCCTCTGGTGTCCGATGCCGCCGAGGCCGAGATTACTCTGAAGGCCGGCGAGGTCGTCAAGATCCAGCTTGGCGCACAGATCGATGGATTCGGAACCATCGTGTGCGACATGGTCGTCGTTCCCAAGAAGGACTCCGCTAAGGAGCCTGTTACCGGCCGTGAGGCTGATCTGATTCTCGCTACTCACTATGCCAACGAGGTCCTCCTGCGCCTCATGGTTCCCCAGGGTCTGTTGGCTCAGGGTACCGATGAGGAGAAGAAGAAGGCCGCGGCCCAGAAGGCCCCTACTCAGGCTTACATGTCTTCTCTGCTCGAGAAGATCGCTAAGACCTACGACTGCAATGTCGTCGAGAACACCACCAGCTGGATGTTCGGCCGCAACGAGATTGAGGGCGAGAAGAAGATCATTCTCTCCCCCGGTAACGGCGTCCGCGGTGACGGTGTTCCCGAGGTCGGCGAAGTTTGGGGTGTTGAGGTTGGCCTCAGTCTGGGATCCGGCAAGGTTAAGAACCTCGACCACCGTGCTACCCTGCACCGCCGTACCACCACCACTTACGGCCTGAAGCGCCCCAGCTCCCGCCAGACTCTGTCTGAGGTTGTGAAGAAGTTCGGTACTTTCCCCTTCAGTTTGCGCCAGCTTGATGACGAGAAGGCCGCCAAGGTCGGTGTTGTTGAGTGTGTTCGTGGCGGTGTCCTGCGCCAGTACGAGCCCGCCGGCGAGACTGACGGTTCCCCAGTCTCTCGTCTGCTGACCACCGTTGGTAAGTACCGTTGAATTTGCGTGGAGATGATTTGGACCCATAAGCTAACCCCACTCACAGCCATCACCAAGAATGGTCTCACCAAGCTCGCTGCTGCCAAGCCCGTTGATGTCGAGCAGGTCAAGTCTGACAAGAAGCTTGAGGACGAGGAGATCCTCAAGATCCTTGAGCAGCCCCTTGCCCGTTCCACCGGCAACAAGAAGAACAAGAGCAAGAAGAAGACCAAGACCACCGGCGGTGATGAGTAAATATGAGTCAATGCTCTCAACGAACTTTCCCCGGTCATCATTTTCATGCAATACACTTTTGATATAGTGTAGGACTATTTGTCCAATCTGAATTTAAAACAGATATCCAATGATGAGCCTGACTGCAGGTCATACGAAATCTATCCAAAAACAAAAGAGAAGCAGTTGATTTTACCAATGACATGCGACAGGGCTGGCAATGCCAACCCATTTTTTTTTGAAACCTCGGTATATACTTTATCGACAAGTTTGGTGCTGGGAGATCTTCTTCTTGTGCTTTTCCTTGGAGGCCTGTCTGTCTTGTATGTAGCAATTGGATCAGACACCATGGACCAAATCAAGACGTTGCCAAGTCTGTACTTGCGTACATTGCAAATCTACATGGAGACGTTCTATTGACATAGTAGCCGTTGTAGTGCTCTATTACTTCCGTATATGCTTGTCCATGTCGAGTCTCAATCCGTAATTGTTCGAGGCAGCTTGTTGCTCGAGGAAAAGATCAAGACTAGATACATGTGCAAACGTCGTCGACTACTCGATAAGAGGGCAATGTCTAAATGTCTGCAGGCGAGGCTTCCCTGGCTTTCTTTCAGAGTATGTAATGGTAGGAGACTATCCTAAGCGACCTATTTAGATGATGTTTGTCTACTGGCTGTTAGTAACAGGGAACCAGTCTGTTGCAACTTGCTGGTCTGCGTAGAGCCTTGATTCAGCAATATAATCAGGACCTCCGTCTCGTTCCTGTTGACTGTTGAGAACCCCGTAGACACACGGTAAGCCGGGCTTTTGGCGTATCCGGAGACCATATCCTATCCTAGAGCCATTTACCCGTGAGACCTGCTTACAATGGTCAATCCAAAATCTGTCTACTTGCATGGGTGTCTGACGCATTGTCACATGGCCCATGGCCATATTTGGTCCAATAGAGCTGAGGCTGAACAGCCATTGAAGTTTATACACAGGCAGACTCGTTCTCAACAGATCAATATATCAATAGATCGGTATAAAAGCTATTGTTCTCCGTAGGCACCCTCAAAGGAGATACCCTGGCAGCACCGGGTGTCGAGGTAAAGACGTGACATGTCACCTGGATGACTGTCTATTCTATTGTGCCCGTTCCCCGTTTGCCCTCTTCATAGAGAACAATAGACTTGACCTAAAAGGGAAGGCCCCCCTGCCCCCAATTCTCGCCGAGGATTTATTTTATCCCACACCTCCCATGTTTCTTCTTCCTTTCTTCTCTCCTTTTCCCCACGTTCAATCCGTTTCGTTACTTTCACGTCAAAAATGGATACTATGCGTGCTACTGTGCGTCGCGTCTCGAAGCGTCTTCTCAACAAGAAGAGTAAGTCATGACCGTCCGTCTGTCCCAGTCCCCTCCCCTGGTAACCAGTCACGCCTGTGACGCGGGTATCATGTCCCCCCTATTCAAGCTCGAAGATTGCCCATGGCATGCTCCTCTGTATCATACTGCTCGTGTCCCGGCCCCAGCATCATGTCACCATGTCACCATGTCCCTACCCCCATTGTGACAGCAGTGCAACACCTCATCTGCCTCTCGACCTACACATTCCTCGGACAAAGACGAGTGGCACTTCCATGCCACTTCTCTCATGTCTCGAATTGGCTTGTCATTGGTCCAGTCACTTCTAAGACGGGATGTGCTCTGTCATTTGGTTCACTGAGCCCTGGGGTGGATGAGACAACATACTTCCCTCCCCGACAAATTCAACCACTTATATTATTGAAACCACCATTCCCTTTTGCTCATTTCCATGTGAATGGTACTTACTCTGTCTATCCCACTGATCTGATCACTGATCACCTCTGTGATGGGGGAGAACGAGAAGTTGCATCTTTCAGGTGAAACTGAGAGATTACCCTACAATTTTTATCACTTCCAAGATGGGAACAAACACTGACTTTTTCAAATAGCCGAAGCCAAAAAGACATCCAAGGAGAAGCAAAATGCAGTTGCTGCCCAGTACGTTGACCCCAAGAAGTTAGGGCATGGAGTGCGTGGCACTAACCCTACCAGACCCCTTCCGCCTGCCCCTACGGGGTCCACTCAGTCCGAACGCCGTCAGGGCTCTTCCCAACCCGCGCAACGACGGAAGCTTCAGAAGAAGCCCCCGGGCACTTCGAAGCCCATAAACAACAATTACCGGACAATGAGACCGATTGGGGAATACCCATCGACCACGGAGTACCGAGCTGCTGGCGTGACTCCTCCGTCTGAACGGCCCCACCGCGTCGCGACCGTGCCGACCAACGTCCCGCGCGACGAAGCTGAGCGCATTTCCCCCGTTAGCGGGGTTGAGAGCCTGACGGCCGACAAGGGCCATGTTGAGATCGCTGAAGAAGCGGCACTTGCCTCAATCTCGAGTGGAGTCCAGACCCTGGCCGATGAGGCCATTCGCAGCGTTACCACCCCGGCCGATGCGGCCACTCCTACCCTCCCAAGCGCAGACGACACAAACAAGTATGTCACCGTGCTGATGTCTCTTCCTTTGCACCCCTCAGACAAATACGATATTGCCAAACTCCGGACCGTCATCAAGTACGCCATAATCCACGCAACCGACAACGGCAACGAGGCGTCTGCCCTGGCCCTTCTTTACTTTTGGTCCAATGCAGTGGATGATGAATTCCAACTCTCTTTGGTCGCCAACATCTCCGGAGGCGACGGGGGCGACGAACAACTTCGACTTGCCCTCCAGTCTGTCCTCAACAATTCTATTCCAGATGCCCACAAGTGGTATCAGAAATACCTTCGCGCTACAGCTAATGCAGCCGATATTCCCTCATGCAGTGGATCAAGCCTGCCACCTGGCAATTCTATTGACGCAGAGCCCAGCTTCAAGGTCTCCGACATTTATCGCGACACCAGTGGTCCTCGGGTTGAGGAAAACTTCCTGAGCGGCAAGTCGAATACCGCTCCACTCAAGAGACCCAAGAAGCCATGCAGAGTCAACGAGAATGCCTACAAGCGCAAGCGCAAGTGGGAAATGGATCCTGACCACGAGGAAAAGATGCGAGCCGTGCGTGCTCGTCTTCAAGCCGAGTCTTACTCGGAATCAGTTGTCCGGTACAGTGCAATTCGAACTCAGATCGGACCCCCAGATGCCATCCAGCATCCCTACAACATGGAAAACATTGACGCCGGTGTCGATGGGGACATGGAAGAGCTCAATCGTTCGCGTTCCCTCCCTGCGCCAGGTTCTATCCTCGATATACCTGTTGTCAAGGGTCCAGAGCCCGAGGCTCCTTCTGTCTATTCACCATCTGCTTCGCTTATCGGTCGCAAGACTGGTAAGCCCGTTTCGCGACGCCAGAAAGATAAGGCCAAGGGCCCTGAGATCCCACAGCGTGCACGGTCGCTCTCTGTTGATACCACAGTCTCAAGTCTTTCTTCGCTTTCAAATTCTGCTTACTCAGTCCGATTTAACGACTGGTCTGGCGGCCACGAGCCACGCCAAATGCCGAATTCTATGTATGTGATTTCTTGGCACGACTTGGCCAGTTCTATTTGCTAACATGACACCTCACAGTGAACCCCCCGAGAACAGCGACGATTGCCACCAATGTGGAAAAGGTGGCGATTTACTCTGCTGCGATACATGTATTAATTCGTACCATTTCGACTGCTTGGATCCTCCCTTGGATCCCAAGAATCCTCCGCAGGGAGAGTGGCATTGCCCCAAGTGCTCCATCCGCAACAGTTTCTCGACCTTGATCGCACACTCCAAACACTATAAGAAGACAGAGTTCCAACTTCCCCAGGATATCAAGGAACATTTCCATGGAGTTGATGAAGGAATTGTCTATGATGGTGAATATGCCCGGAATTTGAAGCATCAACGATACTACAAGCCCGCGCCCCACCTGCCGCGGCTGACTAAAGCACCCAAGCAAGACGGCCCTACCATTTACGCGAATCCCATGCTTCTCCGAGAATACGACAACAAGGGAGACTGCATCCGTTGCTCCAAGTGTGGTTTTACATCCCAAGGTACACGTCCCATTATCACTTGCGACTACTGTCCTTGCCGCTTCCATCTGGATTGTCTTGATCCTCCCCGCGCCAACCCCCCTAACCCCAAGGTCGGGTGGATGTGTCCTAACCATGTCACTCCTGACGATATGATTGCCACCAAGGAGATTAATGGCAGCAAAGAGCGTACGCGCCGTGTTCGCCGAACCAAGAACATGGCGTACATTGATTGTGACATCATGCTTCCTGACGACCCTAACCAAAGTCTGTTTGACGACGACTGGAGAGAGAAAAGAGCCCGTTTCCTTGGAGGCGATGTCGTTTTGAACTTCATCACTGCCGTCAAGAACGATCACCAAGAACGTGAAAATGAGTATGCCAGGACTGTCGAACGAAAGTGCTTGGACTTGACCAAGCAACTCACCAATGAATACCTCAACCGTGCTGAAGCTGCCGGGATTGCCAACAACATCACACAGAACGGTCTTCCCGCAGATTTCACCCAGAATGTCTCTTCCGCTGTTAACACCATGATCGCCGGCGCTCCTGTTTCCACTGAAGAATTTGACGCTGCCGCTGCCCTCCTCAGCATGGCTACAAGCCAGCCTCCTGCTGTTGGCGAAGGTCACATCGCCGAAGCTGCCGGGCCTGCCTCGCCCGTCACTCAGAAGCCTCTGTCTCGAATTGACGAGGAGTCTACCTTGGGTTCTTCTCACGCCCCAACCTCTCCTCCCGACGCCTCTCGCCCTGCCAAGGCATACTCAGATGCCGAGGAGTCCCACGACTCCGAGCTTCTCCCTCGGATCCCTGTTTTCAAGCGGAACAAGCGATCCCGCCCCGATGACCATGGATCGGCCGGAGAGCCGGCGCAGAAGCGCCAATACACCAAGTCCAAGTGAGCCACCCGGCTCTTTTAATTCAATGCGCATCAAAGGACCCGGCGTTTTGAATTGTCATGGATTTGTTTTTCTGTTTTCCCATTTTCGCGGTCGCCGGAAAGGCGATCGTCAATTTTTTTGAATCTGTTTCTCCGAGCTGCCCGGCCACGCCTTTGTTTTCTTTCAATGTTTGTTTTCTATCTTGCTTTTTTTTCAAAAAAAATTTGCGTGGCCGGGTAGCTCGGAGAAAGTGTACGATAGCATGGGCCAAAGGCCAAATGAATATTTGCCATTTCACTTTTCTCTTACTCGTAAATGTAAGTACTCTCAGAGAATTTCCATGAACGTAATGATATTCGTACTCTACATAACTTTCCCCGAAAGGATAAATCCCGGTGGCTCGCCTCCAGGCAGAGCACACTTGTGAATATTATGGATATAACCCCCACCACCGCCCCCATCAACAATAGCTCAAGATGACAGAGATTCAGATGGCACGGGGGGGTGGGGGGATGGGAGGGACAGAACGGGACGCTTAAAGGAACTTCTTGGGCATGTTGGCCCGGCGACGCTTGTAGATGACGTAGGAGATCACGAGGATCACCTGGAACGCGATCAGCAGGAAGATGAAGAAGCCCATGCGTGGGCTGGAGGCCGTAATCACTATAAGATGAGAAAAGAGCAATTAGCAGACTGAACGGATGAATCATCTGAACAAAGCAAGCGGACTTACCACTTAGCAGGTGACCCTGCAGGTTCTCGCTCAGGCTGAGGTGCGAGGAGCGCAGCGTCTCGTGGAGCTGGTTGAAGCGTCCACTGTAGTCCTTGCTCTGGAGGTCGTTCTGGACGACCTGGAGCAGCTGCTCGACGCGCGAGAGTCGGGTATCGAACTGGGCGAGTTGGCGGTCCTGAGCCAGCGACTTCTGGACAAGCTCTGCGTGGCGCTGATCGGCCTTCTGGGCCTGGTTCTTCAGCTCCTGGAGGATGGTGTTGGTGGCCTTGCCCGCCAGCTGGATGCGACCGCTGATGTCGGCGATCTGCGCAGCTAAGCCGTTCATTGTGACTTCTGTGCCAGAATTGATTATGGGTTGAGCAGGCTGTTCAGGAATTTGGTTGGAAATTCGCTGCTGGGGGGTGCTGCCTTGGTTGGAGGGTATTGTCGAGCCTTGGCCTGTGGCGGACTCGAGGATGAACTTGAAGATCTCGAATGAGTCTGGATTTTCGGGAGTGGCTGCTGTGATGCCGAAGGTGTTTCCAGCGGGCAGGGCGACCTGCTCCGGTTAGTATGATAAAGATGGCCTCAGCATGGTATCAGCAGGACATGTTGTATACATACCTTGTTGGTAGAAAAGCAAAGCTTGTCGTCAATGGTGACTTCAAAGATGGAGCTGGTGTGCTTGAGTTTCACAATTGATGGACGGCCTAGGTTACGGTAGGAATAGTCGCAGTGGCCGAAGGCTAACGTGTCTGGGCTGTTGTGGCTTTTGTAATCGATGGTACCGTCGTTCAGGAATCCACGGACACTGCCGCCCTATGGGAGAGGTTAGTAAGTACTGATAAATACGCCACGACAATACGCGACAGGCTCAGTACGCACTCTTCCACCATGCGTATCGATTACCAGAGCAAAGCCGTCGAATTGGCCCACAGTATAGATGCTCGAGGTACCAATACGGGACTGGCCGTCCTTCGTATACCATAACTGCAGGATTCCACCCGCTCGTTCTGGTCCGCTTGCTCGGAATTGGAATTCTGCTGACCATTCCGACTGAGCGACTCTGTACTCATGTTATTATCCGGTGTTCGATATCACGGTTCGAAGCCCTTCACTTACGGACTTTGTGCCCAAGCTGATCCCCGTGTGTTTCCAGGGTACGGTGGCGTTAAGATGAGCTTGTCCGATAGCTATATGGCTGTTAGATCAGCTCGGCCACAATTCCGGCAGGCCCACTCACAACGTGTGGTTCATGGCCCTCTCCTCCAATTGCCCATCCGGGGATAGAATCTTGGTTTGGTGATATCCTGGTCTGAGGTCAGATAACCATAATGCGAAACTGAAAACGGGCACTACACTTACGTTTGACCAGTGCCAAAGCTTGAGCTTTCAATAATCTGGGCTGTGGCCCCTACGGCAAGCAATGCCAGGGAAGCTAATGTTCTCATCATGTTGCGTGGCTGGACAGTTGGTGGAGCTTGATGTTGATATGGATTCGTGGAAGTTTCGCGCAGCAGCTACCTATCAGTGCTTGCTATGGATTGAGTCACGGTCGCACTTCTGATTGCAAAGGCTGGAGACAACACTAGTGGTGATCCAACCGACAACAATGGCAATAACGCAAAGACGGGCCTCCTTTGCAATAACAGCGGCTGATGGCGAGAAATCGATGAAGTGATAGAGCTGTACACTATTGAGAATAGTGTGGCGGATTCCGACGTCTGTGAAGTCCATACGGAGAGAGTGTTCCCTTTTGCCGTTGTATGTTTTAAATTGACTTATCTGTCCTTCTGCCCAGGTGTTTCGCTCCTGATTTGACCTCCGATCTCCGCATTTGGTCACGTGTTCTCAAAATAACATGCGGAGGAAGCTGCTCACTTCACCGATTTGTGCATTCTCGCGTCTTCTGTCTTCTTGGCTTTCAACATCGCTGCACCATTATGCGCAGTTGCTCCAATGGCTGACCTATACCCTTCATTGGCGCAATGCGCCATTGTTGCAACTGCCTTCAAGGTGCTGCTCTTCCCCGCATAGTGAGTCCGTCCCACGCGCTTCGCCGCAGCAAAAAAGGATCGGAAAGACAGGTGGAAAGATATCGGACAATCACTGCAAAAGAAGCTGCGATTTGAATTCAAAGGAACCAAGGAAGAGGATATTGGGGTTACCAAATGAGCTTTGCTAACATGCTTTTCTTTGTGTTGCAGCAAATCGACTGATTTTGAGGTCCATCGCAATTGGCTCGCCATAACCCATTCTCTCCCCATCCAGGAATGGTACTATGAGGTATGTGTGGTCGGGCGCATGATTTCTGGACAGGTACAGTGGGTGTTGACTTGGGTTGGTTTAGAAATCCTCGGAATGGACGCTCGATTACCCGCCGTTCTTTGCAGTCTTCGAATGGCTGATGTCGCAGGCTGCGGCATATGTAGACCCTGCGATGTTGGTCGTGAAGAACATTGGCTATGATTCCTGGCAGACTGTCTACTTTCAAAGAGCAACTGTGATTTTGACGGAGCTAGTTCTTGTCTATGCGCTTAGTCGGTATGGCACCCAATCCTGGTTTTCTTTTTGGTGATGCAATGGGATCCTGACTGCTATTCGATAGATTTGTCAAGTCTGTTCCTTTGCCAAACAAGCAGGCTGCGCATGTAGCCAGTCTTTCCATCCTACTATCCCCCGGTCTCCTCATCATCGATCATATCCACTTCCAATACAACGGCTTCATGTATGGAATCCTGGTCCTATCAATTGTCCTGGCTCGCAAGCAATCGACTCTCCTCTATAGCGGTATCCTCTTCGCGGTGCTGCTATGCATGAAGCACATATACCTCTATCTCGCTCTCGCCTACTTTGTCTATCTGCTGCGCACCTATTGCCTTAGTCTCAAATCGGTTTTCCGGCCCCGATTCGGTAATATTTTCAAACTTGGATTCTGCGTGGTGGGCGTTTTTGCAGTTGCCTTTGGGCCGTTTGCGCAATGGGGACAATTGCTACAGCTCAAGGACAGGCTGTTTCCGTTTTCGAGAGGGCTGTGTCACGCGTACTGGGCGCCAAATATCTGGGCGATGTACTCCTTCGCTGATCGAGTACTGATTTTCGGTAAGTGGTGTCTACCTCTCACAGCCCACACGACATATGAGCTTCTGACAATATCTGTAGTTGCTCCACGGCTAGGACTTCCCGTGAACACTGATGCTCTGAACAGCGTCACACGAGGACTGGTGGGAGACACATCTTTTGCTGTCCTTCCGGAGGTTACGAAGGAACACACCTTCATATTAACCTTCTTATTCCAACTGGTATGTATCCCTTGTCTTGTGCCTTAGGCCTTCTCTCACAATTGTCTAGGTTCCTCTCATAAAGGTCTGGTTCAACCCAGGCTGTTGGGATACCTTTGTCGGTGCGCTCACCCTCTGCGGCTATGCATCATTTCTCTTCGGCTGGCATGTGCACGAGAAAGCCATTCTTCTCATTATCATCCCATTCAGTCTCATTGCTCTCAAGGACCGCCGCTACTTCAGCGCCTTCCGACCTTTGGCAGTTGCAGGGCATGTCTCACTCTTTCCGCTGCTGTTTACAGCAGCCGAATTCCCCCTCAAGACTATTTATACAGTCCTGTGGTTGGTGCTGTTCCTCTTCGTCTTCGACCGAATCGCACCTGTCCCCGAGCGGCCCCGCATTTTCCTATTTGACCGGCTTTCACTGCTCTACTTGACCGTTTCTATTCCTCTGGTTATCTACTGCTCCCTGGGACACCAGTTGATATTCGGATGGGACCGGCTAGAGTTCCTGCCATTGATGTTCATGAGCAGTTATTGTGCCCTCGGAGTTGTCGGAAGCTGGGTTGGGTTCATGGTTGTGTATTTTACAGCTTAGATTTGTCGGACTAGCTGGGATCAAAAGATCATTTTATGTCTTTGTTATCAAGTATGGCTTGAGGTTATTTGAGGTGACTTCTTCACTTGGGTCACGATGTAGGTGTAGAATGTTTGCATTGTTTGGTTTCCACGTGGGTAAGACCCACGGATCATGGAGTCTATTTTCCCACTAGGCCCAACCTAGTTAGCCCCCTTTCATCCATGGTTAACCTGCAGCCAAATGCAGGTCGGATAGAAACATGGGGAAAGAATCTGTTTTCCATTCTTCCATTCTAGGATTCTGCTGGCAATTTTGGTGTAAATACGCAGCGTTTTCTTATCTCTGTAATTTACCTGTTGGCCCGGGTGATGGTTTGGTCATGAAGATGTATGTTTACAGCGCATATATATTTCTGCAGGTTATGGAAGTTTCCTTCTGAGCATGCATTTTGTTTAAGTGCTTTCACTTTCTACCCGTGATTAACAAGCTATTTTACGACAATTTATGAAGAGAAGCCACAAGAAAACCCGCTCTAAAACCAGCAAATTACAAAACATACACACCTAATGATTATGAGCGGCGGCTACCTCTAGGCACATATAGTGTGTTTGTTATTCACGTCTAGCCGCACGATAACCAAACAAACACAAAAAAGGTTGTCTTGACACACAAAAGCGAGGCTCATTGACTTCAGCAAGTATAGGCATAGAGTACTGCTTATTCAACAATAGAGATATGGGTGGCCAATGCGCTTGTGACACCGTGGCTGAAGAAAGTGTATCAAATCTACATGCCAATCATAGCTGCTTGCTTTAGAGTCATAAAGGTGACGTATAGCTATCAGCCGCTGTAGGATATAGAGCGTGCACCCAAGGCTCTTTGATAACCACGACTTACACTTTAGTCGAATATAGTTGCTCTCAAAATAGGTCTCGTGTTATTTAAGTATGAAATATGACTCTCTAGGTCGATGACTGTAGGATGAACAACAAATAAGACTTGAGCATTTAAAGCCAAAGAGAATACTGTTGAAAGGTTGGTGTTTCATGCTAAAAATACAAACAAAGCTGGTGGTTGACATGGTCCCGTTAGTTCAAATTGATTGTTCCGATCTTAGGCCGGGTGACCGAGAATAGAAACTGAGAATTGATAATTGCGTTGAAGAATAGAGATATCACAAGACTTTGAAATGAACAGGATATAGATAAAATCTCCTCAATTAGACGAGTCGAATGAGGGTAAATACAGGTAGAGTTGGCAAAGAAAGGAAGAAAGAATTGATAGTCGGAGGTGACGAGGGGAGGAGGGAGAGTCGAGGGTCCCGAGGAAAGCTCAGGTGCTTTTTTCTGCTGGGCTTTGGCTCCCGCTTGCTCCTCCTCTCCACCAATCAGCTTCCACCGCCGATTCGCGGTCCTGCAATGATCTACCGCTCCGTCCTTTTTGTCTACCTTTCTTCTTTCTTGCTTCCTCCTTCAAATATTCGCAGCTTCCCTTCCCCCCCCAATATCATAGCAGTTCATCATCTCAGAATCGCTTGGTTCTCTACTTTATACAGGACGCGTTCTACTCCGGTAAGTCCGCATGAAGTTCCGACGCATGGCTATTCCACTCTTCGCGTGTTCTTCGTCTGCGACCAGGCCTGATCACGACAATTCCCTTCCACCCACAACCGCCTCCTCTTTGCACAACTCTGCGCCAGAGCAGGAGTACCTGCAATCTATATCGCAACTCCCGCTATCCCCGCCGATTGCTTGTCTGACGCGGCCTCTATCTTCACACACTCAATCGACAAGCTTCACATGCTAATTAAGATCGCGTTTTGTTTAGTCCCGTTCATGCTCGATTCTCGATTCTATACACGGTAGCTCCTGGCCGACTGGCGCGTCCACACTTAACATTGAAGGCATCATGGTATGCGACACCTTATCCGATGGAATGGTTACGGAGGCGCTAAGAACAAATTGGTGAATGCTACGGAGACGAAAAGGCTTACGCAATTGCATGGACAGGTGTTATTCAAACGTAAACCGGTTCAGTACCTCCCGCAAACTGTCATTGAAGATGATAGTTCCGAGGTATGTATTATATTACCTATCTTGCAGGCTTTCCCACTGACCCTCTTTCTTCCTTCCAGGTCTGGGTTATTCCAGAGACCAATGAGGTCTTCACTAGCTACGAGCCTTACCTTCAGCGAATGGACTTCTACAAACAACGCAGATTCATCTGCGAGATCACCGGCCATTCGGGGTTGACCTTCTTTGAGGCGCTCCGCAGTGAGGTATGTTATAACATGGACACCGAGTGATGGACCTATACTAAGCCTTGACTAGACGGAGGAATCACGTGAAGTCAACAATAGTTTCCCCGATGCGCTGAGAGAACCTATTCTGCGCAGAATTCAGTTCTCTATAGTTTCGAGGGTAGACAGCCTGGGTATGCTATTCCTGTCTTTTCTGGTCCGAATCAAGCTAACGACATTTTTTTATCAGTGGATGAAATATATGAAGTGAGATAGCCCCGTCATTTAGTAATAACTGATACTGATCTAACAAACCCAGGAATTCAAATCAGACTTCTACCCAGGCGAGGCCGTTCTCATTTTGCTTGATGATAGTAGTCGGCTCCATGGCACCATCAGAGACAAGGCAAACTTTGCAGAGCAGTTATATGCCGATGGAACCATCAAAACACCTGCTTTTGCCAGGTATCTGGTCAAGATCCTTGATCGACAAAATGAGGAGGCCCTGCTGGACCAGGACCACATCACACGCGACCGAAAGGCATTCACTAAGTTGATGCTACGCGGGTTCATCAAAAACAACGTCACCAGAGAGTCGTGGACAGGTGCGCCTTGGTTGGTTAAGCCATCTGTCGCGGAGACATACAAGATTCCGATTGAAGTGCCTAAACACCTGCAGTATGGTGCAAAGGTAGCAGAGAAGAAGGCAATGAAGAAAGCGGATCAAGATGGCTTTTTTGGTTTCTTTTCTTCTCAGCAGCTGCCCGAGCTGAAACCTGCAGTAAAGGGCCAGAAATCGAAATTGTCTGCACAGGACATGGCAAAATCGAGGGAGGCGCAGTACCAAGAATATCAGCGATCGCTGAATGGTAACCCATCATTCCTTCTGCCTTCCAATCCCCTTCGCCCTTCCAAACCGCCACTGGTTGGCGATAGGAAGCTTGCTGGACTCCCGGCCGTGGTTATCAAGAACGAGCCGAGAGCACCATCACCGCCACCGATCAAGTATCCCATCGAGGATCTGGACCTTGCTCCTAATTCTGAAAAGCAACACCGACCAACTCTGAAGTTTAGGATGGTAGGTGAGCCTGAAGATGATGTGGAGAACCTTCTGCCTGATGATCTAGAGCCGGAAACAGTGGGGTTGCTCCTGGAGACTTGGGACACACTCAATGTCTACTGTGAAGTATTTGAACTTGATTCTTTCACCTTTGATGATTTTATTCAAGCTATGCGGTTCTCATCAGATGAAGTGGACTGCGAGCTTTTCGTTGAAGTGCATTGCGCTGTTCTTAAAAAGCTCGTCAATTCTTCGAACGACGATGGCGCTGTTCAGATCTCACTCCCAGACTTCCCTGTTGAAGATTCCGATGAATCCGAAGAAGAGGATGAAGAGGAAGAAGCCGAGGAAGAGTCTCCAGAGCCGCAGGCGAAGCCCGGGAGAATGACCACTAGAGGAAGTCTGGCCAAGGAAGAGGCAGTCATGATCAAAGCACGGATCAATGAAGACGAACCAGAGGAGACACAGATTCATCGCGCTGGCGAGATGTTTGAGAAATATGGCTGGATTGATCGTCTCCGCAAACGCGATTTCCGCAACGGTGGATGGCAGTTGGTAATGGTTGGACTTTTGCACCAGCTATCTGTCCTTCCTCGCTCGGAACAAGTCTGCAACACCATCCTCAAGCATCTGGCTCCTCTCGATCGCGAGCCTACACAGTACACTGTGCAGGAGCAGTATCAAACACTCGACATTAATTTGCGTACCAAGGCGCTCCAGATGATTTGTATGTTGAGTTTGGAGACCAAGGCCATCCGAAACTATCTAGAAGAGTGCAGCAATCAGATGACAGAGTTGCGCAAGGAGAAAATTGAGTATCAGAAGGCGCGCAAAGCAGGGTAAGCCAATCCTTGACCATTGTCATCTCAATCGCTAACATCAGCTTTCAGACTCATCGAGCTTCGTCAGCTGCACCAGGAGCGCAAGGCCCTGCAGCCAGAACCCGAAAAGGCTGGAAAGTCACCTACGCCGGTGCCCGAACTGGACGGTTTGGATGATTCTCGACTGGAAGGGGACTCTGAAATGGTCGGGGACACAGAAGACGAGGATATCCCTAGACCACGCTCATTACGTGGAGGAATTGATCGGGCCCTGGAGCGTAAGCGGAAACAAGAATTGGAAAAGGAGCGAAAGGAGATCTTGGCGAAGCAGCCTAAGGGGTCCAAGCAATACCAGCGGGTCTTAAAGAAGATCGAGGAGCAAAAGGCCAATATCGAGAAGCTCCAGGAGCAGATCGAGACTGTGGAGAACAGCCTTCGTGAGACCGACTGCCCCCGGACCCGATGCCTTGGACTGGATCGCTTCTGCAATCGCTACTGGTGGTTTGAGCGTAACGCGATGCCCTACGAGGGTATGCCGGAAAGCTCAACGGCCGAGGCACGCTACGCCAATGGCCGTCTGTGGGTGCAAGGCCCAGACGAAATGGAACAGGCCGGCTTCATCGACGTGACCGACGAACAGAGGAAGCAGTACCAGAAGCATTTCCAAACCACACCCGCAGAGCGCAAGAAGCACGAAGAAGGGCCAACCCATGTGTCCAATGCTCGTGAATGGGGCTACTACGAGGATCCCGAGGCAATCGAACAGCTCGTGGAGTGGCTAGACTCGCGCGGCAACCGGGAGTCCAAGTTGCTCAAGGAGCTGCTCCTCCAGCAAGAGTACATCGCCAAATACATGAAGAATCGCAAGGCGTATCTAGCCGAGACGCCTGATAGAGCC